TGTATTAAGTTTCTGGAATCACCCTGCTTCATCTAGCAAATCCATTTGACGCCACAAAGCATACTTCGCTGAAGGCCGCTGCGTATAGTCTGTTGCTGTTGATTTCTCGAAGAGCGCAGGTTTCATAAATATCATTTGGCTGAAATGTTAAGACTAGGAGTGCTACCCGTATAATCCAAGTCTATTCTAGAGGGAATTGTATTGTGATCGACCTGTACTTGCACATTACAGTAACATGCAAAGTGAGGTACTCAGCGTAACCAAGGTTTAACAATGCAAATGTGCAGTATATTGAAGAAGGCTTTACTCCATTTACTGGAATTTACGTAATCCATATAAATTTATAGATTGTTTTAAACCAAGGTTATTGTTTGTCAGTGCATAGTTTCGATTTTTACATAACTTGTATAAACGAAGGTTTTTTGCAATAGTGCCTTAAAGTTCGTAATTTTCATTGGCACTGTCGTCATTGCAAAGTTAAGTCCAATTAAGCTTGAATAATACAGTATCTCATAGCTGACAATGATGAAAAAATGACTTCGACGTGTCGGAGTCGACGACGGTGTTTAGACGTTTACACACATGGTCGCATTCGGCTGCGTGGCCTTTCTAAAGCATGCTAGAAATCAGTTTCTGAAGTTGCCAACAAAAGAAGGTGATGTGCAAACAGGTAACATATCGTGTGGACACATGTTCTGATATGTTTGTCACGTTGGATGCCAAATTATCCTATTTTATACATATAACTGTACAGATATAAAAGGGGAAAGAACACTGTTGGCGAAGACCAGTGCCAGTGTTCAAATGTCTCGAGTTAACGTTGATTATTCTGACACGATACACGCAACTTCAACATGTGATTAAATGGCGTGAGATCACTGATTCAATGTTTTCTGTTGGCCCATGGCTTTTTGCTTGTAATTCAGTCATAGGCTTTTTTCAAATCTATAAATCACACGTAAATCAGAAGAACGAACTTTTGCGTTTTCTGAAACCACAGGCTTAGTAATTTCCCCGTTTTTTACCATGTGTGTTCAGCATATAAGCGGAAAAACAGTCAAACAGGTGGAAAAGTTAACGTACATCTGGTTGGTGATGGTGATGGAAAATGGAAGGAAGAAATCGACTAACGGAATGGATTCACTAATAGCGTTCTACGTGGACTAGCTGAAACCGTTGTGACAGAAGCAGACTCAGATTTAGTCTTCGGACTTAGCTGTCGGTGTTCACTTTGATCTTTGGCCGATGCTCATCTAGGGTCAGAAGTTGTGGACCATTACTAAAAAATTTCGATATCTGCTACAAGGTGTTGAAATTTGCTTTGTGAGACGAATCACTTTGCTTTGCTCGTTTCGACATGATCCGGAGTACAGATATCCGAAAGAGCTTCGGTGTACAGCCGCTGCACCTCCAGATTGAGAAGTCACAGTACAGCTGCATGGTTTGAGCACTTTTCGCGAATGCTTTCAGAAAGAAAAGTAAAACAGACGCTACTTGCTCAGCCAAACGGCGGAAGATCCAGGAATGGCCAAGAATTACTTGGGCAAGTGTCTCGATGGACTCTGTTCCAGATTTTGGATAGCGTTTGCCAAAGCTTAGGCGTTGGCCGCGGATCGAGAATATTGAAGGTTGTCCAACGCTGGTGCATCTAAGACAAAATACTAAGCAGTCATCGACGTCATCGTCTAGCTGACTGACGGCATTTGCTGCTGTAAGGAGGTAATTTTTTGTTGTAGCGATCAGCCGAGTAAGAGTTTTAAACACACTGCCATAACGAATCAGTAGATATTTTGTTGTTTGAACATATTCAGCAATAAATCATATTTTAGAATGTGAAAATTTTTTTTGGATATTTCGACTGGCGACCGGTTTTGGCTGGTTATATAAAAGCTGTATAAAAGCTTATATGTAAGTATATATGCTGGTAGAGCTTATTAGATGTGGATTTGTTTACTAAAACTTTATCCGTCATTTTTACGTGAAGTACGTTGATTAATATTTTCTAATTGTTTAACTGTAATTGTCATTAGGTGCCGCCATGTCGGTAAATGATCCATCGAATGGCGTCATTTCGAGTTTGGTAGGCTTAACCAGCGACGCTGATATTGCGGAAATCACGGAAGTTCAGAAAGAAACGTCACAACCAAAAATCAGCATTTTTCATTTCGACGTCAATGGCTTGATTTAGGCTGTCGCGTTTAGAGAAAAGCAACGAAATGCTGATCAACTGCATGGCATTGACTTCTTCTTCGTTTGACTCTGCTCGTAAACAAGTCGATTATTATGCGGATATGATTGCTGAAATGAAACGGGATTTGGATGAAATATTTCATCGAATAAGGTAATATATTGTGAAAACGGTTTTCGGTCAATCGCTATTTTAGGAAATACAAGCGGGCATATGTAAGCAACGTTTCGACCGAGGAAGGTATATATTGTAACTGTGTTCTTATGCCGGTTCTGCGAAACAACTATTTCAACGAACAGTCTTACTTAATAAAATAATTTAATACTCGTAGTTAGATACTCTTAGTACTTGGTAAATGTAATACTAGTGAACAATAGAAATAATGGTTCTGCACTTAAGGTTAGACTAGATAATCTTAGATTTAATCTCGACTGTCTGTCCACATCCGCCAGTCATCCAGTCCGTACGCACTGCCTCAAAATAACATCATTTGCTTCGTCTACTGTCCCTGTACTTTAGGATGATTTCCATCAAATCCTGACTTGTACACTGAACATAAAGAATAGTCCGTGATCGATACTTGGCGATGTATACGCCTAAAAGATGTGGTAAAACGATTATGTGATTTTTGCGGGAACTCGACAGACAGTAGAGATTGAATCTCAAGAAGCTAATCTGTGCTTTAGCCTAGAACTATAGCTTCTGTACTTCACAGGTACTGCCTTTGCTCACCATAATTTAATGAGAGCTATTTGTGGTTTTTGTTTCAAATTGGTCGATATATCAAATGCACAAAGCATCTATCCAATTTACGTAATCGGTTTAAACCAAATTCAAGGTTGCCAAGACTCCTTACAATCGTATTACTGAATATTCTACAGTTGTTTCGTAGAACGGCGCAGATAAACTATCTGTATATTGTTATGTTGTCTCTTCATTCTGACTTCATGTTTCTAGCGTCAGGGAAGGACCAAATGAAAATCCACGACAGTTCGGATATTGTTGCCGGAACGTCATAAAAATTTCTGTATTCTGTTTTGTAAATGCCACCTCATGCGAGTCTTGCATGATATGGTGAGATATCAGTGAAGAAGACAGTGTATCTACTTCTGTTGAACGCATTGAACATCGAAATCTTTAGTTGCGCAATTTTTGATACCGCCCATTCTGTCTCACCTCATAAGTAATTGAGGTTACAATACCAATTTTCAGTTGTTTACATGCGATCTGATTAACCCAGTCGCTTTTCATACTTAAAGAATTCTTCGTTTACCTACTCTCCTGCTTATAGGGCGAATAGATGAATGTAAATATTCCTAATGTAACCTTAGTTACTGTTTCCTGCTGGTAGCGGTCGCTTTGCTTATTCAGAAATGAATCATAAAAGGAAGTAGCAAATTATTTTACTCGATTTCGTCAGGCACATACACAGAAATGTAGAGCCCTGTAGAAATTCAATTTCATTGCGCTGATCTCCTCTCAACGAATATTGGAATGTGCTGTATGTACTGAACGAATTCTCAGTCATTTCTATCTCGATGGAAGCATCAAAACTGCAATGAATAGTTTTGAATTTACTTGCGGGCTGTACCTTGTGCTGATAGGTCATTTATCAGATAGATTCATGTGCATCAGAAAGTATGTAATCAAATCTCTCTGCTGTAACCATATCAGAATACTACGCTGTTATTATTGTTCGCAGATCATGCACCTTTTACCCGTTTCTTGGCTTGTTGCATTACAGCACAATACGATGAATTTCATGCTCAAGGGATCAGCAGCTTATAAGAAAGATTTACTCCGAGCAGACAGTTTCCGTTGTGTGGCACTGAACGAATTTATACCTCGCCACTGACATTTTTACTTTCAACAAAGTATCAGAAATCTTATGAAGGTTGTACTTTTTTATCCAGTCATGGGCTTCTTTGTTTAAAACAGGATTGTTTCTTTGTCATGTATATTTATGCCTTGCTTATATATGACTATTTTTACCAATGTATTACTGCATTTCATAAATTCAATTCAGCTCTAAAACTGCATTTAGCGGCAGCATATTGCACTTTTCGTTGCTCGTACTTATCAAGTTAAGCAAGCGCTGACTTAAGGGAATTTAATTTGAGTATCTCGCATCATTTTATTGGTTAAAACAGTACCTTGCTCATCATTACCGATGTTTCAGTAGCCTGTACTCCTTACTGCATTCGCAGTCTTCGTCTTCCATTGTCGCTTCTCCTTTCTTATCACGGACGCAGACGCTCAGACAGTATTTCCAACGACCTCGATTCTGCGCCAGAGTTTGAGCTTCAACAGAAAAAAAATGAGTCTGGAGCAGATTCCTTCCATGTATTTGCATCAGGTTAATCTTGGTCCTCTCCTGCCCCTTTTGCCGGTCAGTACTTCTAGGAGTACTTCTACGTCCGTTCTCCAGTCAATTGGTGTCTTCCCGTAGCCATTGCATTTTGATGGACAGGTGTAAGACAGCACGTCTTGTTGGCCTAATGTTTCGAGCATTTCAGGGCGGATTTCATCAATTCCAGCAACCTTTCCACTTTTCAAGTTTTTAATCTACAGAAATAGTAATATTAGTTTCCTTTTGCCCTACAGGCAAGTCTTTCTGCGGTTGCGCGGGGTTTAGCAGTTCTTCAAAGTACTCTCACCATAACCGAAGAATGTCCTCATTCTCGGTAAAAGGCTGTCCAGACCTGTCCTTCAAGACTTCGAGACTGCCCTTCTTAGCACTTCGGAGCCGGCGACTGGTGTCTCGGAACACCTTGTTTGCCGTGTGGAAATTCGACTCCAACACCTGACCGAACTTCTCGCTGGAATCAACTTTGGTTTTCGCCACTGCATTTGCTAACGCCTTGTGTAGTTCGACATATCGCATGCGAACAGAATGCTTTTTCCCTCCAAGCCATTTCTTGAATGCAGCTTTCTCTTTAATTGCCAGTTGTACCTCTCGTGTTCACCAGGAAATTCATTTTTGACCTTCTGTAGGCATGCCAACCCGTTTGAATTCGCAGCACTTGGCGACAGCCTCGAGTACGCCACTTTTAAAGAGCTCCCAGTTGATCTTCATATGAGTCGTCATCACTGGGATCTGTTCAAACCGTCGTACGATGTTATTTGTGTCCACCGAAGATAATGTTTCCCATTTGATTCTTCGGTTGCTTCTGCCAACAACAAGGTGGTGATCGGTTGATAGCTCTGCGCCTCTCTTAACGCGATCATCCATTGCTGAGTGTCAGACGATACGATTATAAAATCGGTCATCGACTTCTGTGCACAAGCTTTCCGGTACCAGATGTACTGATGCATTTTTCGATGCTCGAAGAAGCTGTTCATAATGAACAGTCCGTTGTTTGCACAAAACCGTAACAACTTCATGCCGTTATTGTTGTGGCCGCTAGGGCCGTTCTTTCCAATGATGTCTTTCCATTTTGCTGTGTCTGAGCCGATATGCGCATTAAAATCGCACATCAGAATGAGGAAGGGACTGCGCAATCGGCAGTTCGTAAGGAGCACACTCCACTTCCTCAATAAAGGAGTCATATTCTCCCTCCAAATTGGGTGCATGGATCTGTAACAAAATCAGCGGTTGAACCTCTCCTACCTTCATTCAGAAGATTGTCAGTCTTCCAATCAGTAATTCTTTCAGGGAGGTTGGGTTTTACCATAACAGCAACAGCGGCCTGAGCGCTCGTCGTGATGTCGGCACGAGTAGAATAGCTTCCACCGGCAGACTTCCAAATTTTGTGGCCTTGGTAGTTGGGTGACGAGTATCCAACTATATTGCGTTGGTACCTTACGACCTTATTGATTGACCTATGTTCTTTCCCTTTGGGGAAGAAATATTTGTTTCCGAATATAAGTTCCCACTGGCGGGGTTGTTCTCGCGGAGCCTTTACTGACGTGATGTAATGGCATCATGCTGTCTAAATCATCCGTTCAGAACGGGTAGTGACTGCGTTGCTCACAGGTATCGTCGTCGTTCCGCCAATCTTCGACCGCCGTTGTTGTGCTTTTACGCCCCATGGTGATGAGCAGGTTCTGATGGCCGACTTTTCGTAGCCTGTCTCAGTCCACTAACAGCCTGTGCTGCCATTAGTAACCCGTGCGACGACCGAGCCAGTGTATTTTTCGATGACGTCGGTACCATAAAGGGTAGGTGGCTAAATTTTTGGGAGGCTTCGACACGGTCTCTATCCCTCCTCGTTTCTTGACTGGGCTTGGGACCGACAGTCGCGTAGTTATGATTAATACCTGAGGGAATAATCGTGCTAAATCACATTTCGCTGCGCGTTTCACCTACCCGTTGCTTCTATTCGTCTATGAGGTAAGATGACAGCCATGTCTTAATGAGATTTTAGTATCTGCAGTGGCAACTGCATCTCGTTTGCTGAAATGTCATATCGATCGCATACGATTATCATATTCCAGGTGTTGATAATTACGTTATAACTGAGAAAATCAAAATATCGGTTGATACGCCATAGGTGATGCATAATTCCTCTAGAATATGATAAACAGGAGGACTAAATAAAACGTTTTGTAAGGTTACTTCTTAAATAAGATTGTCAAAGAACCTTGATTTTATAGATAAATAAAAGCGCAAACCATAAATAGGACTAACACAAGAAAAAGAATCGAGAAGTAATGAATAAACGATGTAAAAATATTAAAGTTATGTTAAAGGAGAACTAGGCGGTACATCTTAACGTAGTAGATTTCCGAAAATAAATTAAATCCAAAAAAACACTTCCTGGTGACGACTTAATTTTTACGTTAGTGCAGTTATGGGTTTTTCTGTAGCTTAATCGAAAACTTCGCCAACATTAAGACTTTACCGTGTTCCTGCTACCCGTATAATGCAATTAATGCATGCGCAAATCAAGGAAATAACTACAAGAGGAAGAAACAAAAAGCTATTGATGAAAGTGAAAGCAAAACTGCCAGTCAAAGTTACATAATCCATAATGGAATAAGACATTTAAACATTCTTTTCGAACATCATTCAAACAGTGTTAGCGATAATGACAACGAAATATTGTTCATAAATTGCATGCATAAGCTTTTATGATGACTGTGACATGATAAATCAACAGTACTCATAGCAATTAATCAGTTTCCTTGAATATATTAAACATAGGGACGTAACTTATCATTAACGTAACGAACTATTTATCAAGTAGGCTAAATTTGCTGCTAAAAAATTGTACTAGTTTTAAAGTTTCATTAATTTTTGTCCATGTTAGTGACAGCACGACAAACGCTTACTACAAGTCTAGCAGTTTCACTTTTAGATCTAAGTCATTTCATTCAGAGTGCTAAATAAACGGGATGACTTTCAGTAGCTATACTTATGTACGCACATACCACACCTGGTTATCTTCAGCTATTTCCTCTCAGCATATCACGAATACTCATATTAGTATACTAGCAGCTATTTCCTCTCAGCATATCACGAATACTCATATTAGTATACTAGCTTTAACAGTCTGAAGGCAACGTGATTTTAACATTAAATTCAGGTAGTGAATGGAAATTGCGTCTTATACGAACATAAAATTTCGTCATTGATCTTTCACATAAATTCATAAAAACCAATGGATCAAGTAATTTCTACCGTTAAGACCACAAGTTTTAAAGCACCTCATTAACTACAGGCAAAAAGCTTTTGACAAATAGTCATCACATTAAATTATACTCTGAACAATGATCGATGCAAGAGAAATATTCAGCAATAAAGAAATTAGTCATGAGCAATTCGTAGAGAAAAATACATAAAATAACATTTGTAGGTGGTGCACAAAGGTGGTTGCATAACCCAGTCGTTTAAAGACAGCCTAAAGATCTACATCGTACACTGCACATCGAAATAAAATATACCAGCAATAGGTAATGATCTGCTGATTAAGTTCAGTCGACGTCACACGCACAGAATCCAGGACCGTTG